TTTTTTGAACCTTGAAAAACAGATTCATTATTAAGCAAGAAATTTGAAAAAAAATCATACTCAATTTTAGACCCCTGCGTAGGCAATGGTCAATTATTATCTCCGTGAAAAAAAGCGGGTTATGAGGTTGAGGCGATTGACATAGAAGATAAAGGATTTCAAAATACAAGAAAAATGGATTACTTATTGAGTGAAAAGAAAGATTATAAAAATTCCCTCCGATTGGTTATTATCAATCCGCCTTTTAACATCCATAAAGATATGGAAGAGCAAGCAACTACTTTTAAATATCTGGTGGAAAACGGATGAACTAAGCGACCGTTTCTACCGGAGGTTTTTCTGGCCAAAACCATTGAATTATTTGGTAGAGATGCCCCCATTTTACTTTTCACTCCTTATGGAATGAGGTTTAACTTGACACCAAAAAGTCGACGACTTTTGAAATTTGACGGGGGAAAATATCCAAATATAAGTAGCATAATTACCTTACCGAAGAATATTTATAACTTTGACAAAAATAATTTGTTAAATAATAATGAGGGAATGGGAATAATCTTTCACTCGGAAATTTTGCTTTTTAATATCAAGGGCTTACAAGCTCACTATTTCCTTCCGGAAAAAATCTTCGTAGAGAAATAAAAATATATGAAAGAGATTATTATAAATAGGGTAAAATTTTTAGATTTGGTGGGAGAAAGATACTTCACTTTGCCACCCTTTCAGCAGGAACACAGTTGGGATGAAGAAAACTGAGATGAGTTTATTCAAAGTATTACCAATTTTATTGACAATAAAAAAATATTTGAAGCCAATAAAAAACGAAAGCTCAACCAGCAGAAATATTTTGCCGGTGATGTAATTCCAAAAAAAGGGCATAAGGATAATGATTTTTCTTCGGAAATTATTGACCACCAACAAAGGATAGTCACTATCTTCATTTTGCTTTATGTTATTTACGAAAACACGAATAATCCCGAAATTAAGGAAATTCTTTTTTCGAAAAAGATGGAAAATGAAAAAGAAAAAATGGAAAATGAAAAAGAAAAAATGGAAATTGGAATAGAGTTAAACAATAAACATGATAAGGAAGAATTAGAAAAAGCATTAGGATTTTCCCAAACTGGCGATTTAATTAAGAAAAATGAGAAAAAGCAAAGAGATGGTAATATTTTAAACGCCAAAAAATACTTTATAAAATTTTTTGAAGCGGAAAATGAGTACCAAATCCAAGAAATTTATGATGTTATAACAAAAAATTTCTATTTTGCGTTAGTAGAAATTGAGTATGATGATAAAGTTGAAGAACTTTTTACAGCTCTTAACAACACTGGGCTGAATTTGAGTAATGCCGACCTTTTAAAAAGTTTGTTAATTAGGAAGGCAAAAACCGGGTCAGAAGAACAAGTGATTCAAACTTGGGAAAAAGAGATAGTAGAGATCATTACTGAGGCAAGGAAAAGACAAACTATAAACCGAGAAATGGATAGATTCTTAATCGACTTTTGACTAGCGAAATTTTGAAAAAAAACAGATATTAAGCCAACTAAACCAACCAAACTTAATGTATATAGGCTCTTTGAAAGCAAAGTCACAGACAGCAATAAATCATTTGAAATACTTAATTTACTTGCTGATTATGCAGAAGTTTATAAGAATATAAAAGACCCAGACAAATCGTGATGAGAAAAAACATTTTGGCCACCAGAAATGTTTTACGTAATTAGTGATATTTCAACTTTAAATTATTCACAACTTTTTCCTATTATCCTCAAAATTCATTTTGAGTTAGAAAAAAAATCTGCGGAAGAAAGGAGGTTGGCAACAAAAGCATTAGAAACTATTTTATATTACATTTTCCGTTCAATAACAGTAAGAGGCCAAACCCCGGGCAATATTCCTCGTTTTGTTCCTTTAATAATTGAAGAAATTGCTGTAAATAATAAGTTGTTTAATAATGATTTAAAAAAAGAATGGTTAGAAGAAGAATTTTCAGATAGTGGTAAAGAAAAATTTTATAATGAATTTTTAGTTTATTTTACTGAAAGAAACAAGATTTGAGAATTTGTTTTGAAAAACTATTATTGGAGAAAATTTCAGTCAAAATTTGAATTTGAGCAAGAGAAAATATCTTCCATGGATTTAAGACAAGTTATATATAACTGAAAAAAAACAAACGTAGAACACTTAATACCGCGAACTGTCTTAAAAAAGAACAAATTAGACCCCGAAAGGCTTGGGGAGGAAATTATCTATTCATTGGGAAATGTTACATTAGTAGATGGTAATTTAAATCTGCGAATGTCCGATAAGGTCTGGAAAAAAAAGAAGTTTGATATTAAGGAATATGGTAATAACTGCCCATTAAATTGAGAAAAAACTCATTTTCTTGCCCTGGATAAACTAACTTCCGAAGATATTAAGAAAAGAACGGAGGCTTTGATTAGTGAGTTCAAAACAATGAAATTATTCGATGTTGACTGAACTAATGAAGAAGAAAGCTAATTGACCCGCTACCCTCTACGTCGAAGGCCAAGACCAATTTCGGGGCTGATATAATTCCTCGCTAATTACTTCGGTTATACTCACCGGTCAAGCCCCTTACCAGCAAGTCCTATCTCATGGATTTGTAGTTGACGAAAAAGGCCATAAAATGTCAAAATCTTTGGGCAACGTCCTAGACCCCAAAGACCTTATCAAACAATTTGGATCCGATATCCTTCGTTTATGAGTAATCAGTTGTGATTTTACCAAAGAAATAAAAGTTAGTATTTCAATTTTGGAAAATCTTCGGGAAAGTTACCACAAAATCCGTAACACTTTTCGCTTTTTACTCGGAAACCTAGCCAATTTACCGCCCGAACTACAAAAGGAAACTTATTTAGCCACCGAATTAAGTTTGGTCGACTACTATCTCCTTCACCAATTAGAAAAATTACTCACCGACAACAAAAAAAATTATAATAATTATAATTTTAACCCCATTTACACCTCTTTATTAAACTTCTGTATCAATGATTTAAGTGCTTTTTATTTCGAGATTAGCAAAGATAGTCTGTATTGTGATAGCCTCGCCAGCCCCCGCCGCAACCAGGTTATTACTACTCTCTACTACTTATTATGAGGATTATTAAAAATTATTTCTCCGATTTTGCCTTTTCTGGCCGAAGAAGTTTATCAAAATATTCCTTTTCATTTTGGCTTTGCCAACTCCGAGAGCGTTCATTTAATAAATTGACCTTCAAAAATGGACTTCTCTCCCAGCCGGGAAAAAGAACTTCAACTAATTACAGACTATTTTTTTCCCTTGCGTAACGATGTTTACCAGTTATTAGAAAAAGCTCGACAAAAAAGTATTATTGCTACCAATTCCCAGGCTTCCTTATTAATTCACATCCCGAGCGAGAAAAACCCGCCACCAGAATTTCTTCAGTTGAATTTAACTGAATTATTAATGGTGGCGGAAATCCAATTTACTCCCGAATTAGAAAAAACCACGACCGCCGGAAATTTTGGCTTTCTTCGGCTGGGAAAAAGCCAGTTAAAACGTTGCCTGCGGTGCTGAAATTACCGAGAGAAAGAAAAGGATTTGTGTGAACGCTGCCAAAAAATTTTGGGGAATAATTAAAGAACCTTCAATTTTCTCTTCCTTTCTCGCTCCTTCGCTTCTTCCCCTGCTTTTATTAAATTTTTATCTATTATTCTTTGTGTTGCCTCATCACTCTCACCGGCATTTCGGGAGGACACAGCAAGAATTAATGAAATAAAAAGACCTGCTGCTAAACCGCCAAAAATAGACCACCCCCAAACCCCCAGATTATTTTTTCAATCCCCTTGAATAAGAACTATACCCGCACCCAC